GAACAGGATCAACTACTTCAATTCATTCCGATGACGAGCAATTAGTTATTGATTTGCTTAGAAGGTAAGTAATCAAATTTCCCAATCGAAATAAATATTCTTCGAAAGTGGTAAACTTGATCTTTATCCCTTGTAAATAGTTGACTCGGCGAATATAGTAATAACAGTCAAAAATACAGTATTTCAAGCTGACTGTCATTGAAGTACAATGATCCAGTAAATAGAGAGGCAATCATTTCTAAATTATGTAACATCAAGAAAAATACCAGAAGACTAATATAAGGCCAAAGGTAAATCCATTAATGAAAACTTTGGTAATAAACAGAAGGCACCTTACCCCCTTCATATCCATTTGGATCTGTATTTTTAAAAGTAAACAAGATAATGAAGAGTTGGATATCTGTCAGCAACAGTATTTACATATCTTTTCCCTTTTGCAGAAATGTGCATCTTATATGATACAATTCAAGGACTAACTTAGTCCAAATCAAATAATTTCAATTAATCATATATTACAATAAATAGATTCTTTCACCGCCTAAACTTAACACAGTTACAAATAGTTGCCGGAATCGTTTTTATAAGAATGAAATTCTCTAATTAAGTTTTATATGTATATCAGAAATGTAGAACTGTGATTCAGATACATTGTTGAGTTCAATTATGTAGTTGATCAGATCAACAAACAGAACTATTTGAATCTTCTTGTTGAGCTTACGATCGTTGATATCGGTGAATGAATCTTAGGTAGTGTCATACATAATCATTCTATAGCATAATATTATAAATGTCTAAATTCAATTGTATCACTTACTTTGTTGATCGCAATTATATAAACCTAAATGTAAATCATTTTCATTTAATTACTTGACAATATAACTGGAGAAGTCTGAAGAAAAGCATTATTAGGCGAGACTATAATTTATGGACGAACCAGTTAAGGTATAAGATAACAAGTCTCTGATTTTGGCTAAATAGAGTTTTGACACCGTAACTGATGTCAGTTAGTGATGAAAACCCTGAATCTAATTCCTAACTTTAACCATCAACTGTAAATCATAATTCGAATTCCTCACACTGGTTTATAACACTCATTTGGTCCTAGTTATCAGGTGGACACTCTGAAGGTCAGTTCAGCGTTGCTCAAGGATCATCCATAAACCATAGTCTCACCCATTATTATTCAAACTGTCTGGTTATTTATCACTACTGAACTCTGAAAGAAACCTATTTGAAATGGAGTTTTGTCGCTCAAGTCGTTTTACTGTGATTAATAAAGAAATATTGTCAAGCAAATTTTAATAATCAGTATATGTGCTTTGTCTCTGTTTTAATATAATACGCTTCCCAATCTGTTATTATCTAATACACTAAGCCCATCTTTATACAAAGATATATACACTGTGAAGGATTATATCGAGGTCCACTGCACGAACCATTTCACGAGTTTCTGTTATGATACATATACATACGGATAAGTGATCAAAAAGCGACTAATTAGCATCAAACTTAACTTGTTTTAAGTGATTCGATAAACATAGGAAGAAGAAAATCGCGTCAGTCAATAGCAAGCTACAATCGAAATGAGACAAAACACTAATTTTTAGTATAGCCTTTGAAATGTTATTTGAAACTGCGAGGAAGGAGTAGTTAGGTTTGGTTATTAGATAGTTCATCCCCACTTTAAGTTTACAGAGACAATTCGTCATGTGTAGCCGAATTTTTCTAAGTGTACTGCTCAAATGCACCGTTTTATTGCTCAATCAAAATTTTAGTTATTGCTTAATAGAAATTTCAACTATATTATAATGCATATTAATCATCTCAGGTTAATCGATTTAAGATTAACCATTGACAAATCTCGTTTTATAGTTCAACTGTTATAGAATACGTCTGGAGACTGTCGGGCATTTAGTTTTCAGTCCATTAACGTTCATGTTTTGTTCATATCAAGCTATTATATTTCAACAGTATAAAACTGAACAGTCAAGACATTTTACACGCACTTATTTTGTATTAAAATTACCATCAAAAATGACTTACAAAGTGGAAATAGGCCTCCATTATCTGTGAAATGTTGAAAGTTGAATATAAAAATTACCTTAAGAATATGTTTGTAAATTGAACAAAACGGAATCCAGTGATGTGGCCTTAAGAATTCGACTGTGATATCTGAAAAGTCTAAATCTCATTTACAGCAATAATGAATACCGCCTGATGTTTGAATGCGGATACCAGTTTTCTGAAACTTCTCAAATCATTTTTCCAAGAACAATGAATAAACAAAACAAATACTGAAATGAAACATCATTTCAGTCACTTTGATTTAATCACTCAGATAATACGTTTGCATCCAATATCGTCTACATAATTAACGATAAGATTCTGTTCATGTCCCTTTTTAAATCACATTGTCAAGGTTGCATATTAAATCACACTCAAAAACATCACTTTTGTGTTAGACGTATTCAGTAATGTAAACAAAGTAGTGAATTGGCTATAAAACATTCTCATATATGTAAATCTATCACTCTTCTCAAGTTCATCAACAATTTTTCTCCCGTGAAACATCTTCAAATCTTCCATTCGACATTTTATATTCACAGCTTTTAACTCATATATAATTTCAATACTTGTGAACTTACTTCCACCGCAAGCGGTTTCACCTGAAATGATTGTTTACATTATTTAAGGTGGATGATTATGTAAACGTGCATGATGTGAACCTAATCATTACTGTTACATATTAACATATTCTATAAGGACCACTTGCACAACACAATAGTTATACTTGAAAGCATTATTATTAGCATAATTATTAATCTTGTACTAGTTTACAAGTTCAAAGTGAATTGAAAATGACCTTTCCAAGGTGAGATCCTTGAAGTAATACAAACAACCATCAACTTCACAATTAAAAATCAAACGAAATCTACTAGGATATTCATTTCCTTTGACAATATAGTTCACTGCACCCAATCATGATGACATCGTTTTTAGTATGCATAAGAAAACATTCAATTGTACTTATCGATGCGATTTATCGGATACTTTTGTAGTTATCTCTAAGTGTCTACCTTCGGGTGTTCACATATTGTGTAAATTTAAATGATGTATGAATTGAAACTATATTGAAGCTAGTCACAGTCATTCATTTTTCTTTTGGTTAGTAAACTTGATGTCTTTTATCGTTAAGCCTGAACATTTATAATATAATTTCACTGATCTGTATATGATCTTCGTTCGTAACCGGTCAGTCAGTGTTAGATCATGTTATCAAAAAATTTATGTTCTATCTGAAAATTTCACATTAATTTTATATCCATCATTCAACAGTTTAAGAATGACGTGTAGCTTACAAACTTCATCGTGGTTGGCTGGAAATGAAATAAGATTAATGGATTATTTTTTTTGTCTATATGTCTTCAAACATTAAACACTACTTTTGAACCTTCTTCTATCTTCTGTAGGACAATCGTTACAGGATAGTTTATTCTAACTTTCATGAGATCATATCACAACATTGTCAACTTAGCTGCATTCCTTGGAACATAATTTACAAACAATATCATTCTAATGATAAAATTCTATTCATCTTTTGGATTGAGATAGATCGTAAGAATATCATAAGCCTTTCTGTCAAAAATTTGCTTACTTTACACATGCATATTCTAAACACCTCGAACCGTACTTCAGGATGGGTTGGAAGGATTGTGGTCAACAACATCACAAACTGCTTTCTCGTTACCGTTCAAACATGTCACCCACAAATGTAACAAAAACGAGCTATCTCTCAATCACACCGAAGTCAGTAATAAACAGACCGTATCCAGAGCTCTAAACACGTACACTAGGCCACTGTCTCCAAGTCATCACACAAATTCAATGAAGTCGGTCAGTAATACTGACAATGTATTAAATCACCTGCTGATGAAAATCAGGCTTGATATGTTTGACCATAGCATACAGATGGCAGTGTCTGTCGTATTGAACACCCAGAGAAAAGGCACTGACAACGAGAACATTTCGCTCATGATTGTATTATGGGAGTAATGAATAAGGGTTAGGTCTTAAAAATTACCACGATAAACATGGACACGGTTCATCGGTTCACACTGTGATATCCTCTCCGGCATTTGAACGTCCTTGAAAAATAATTGGATAGGGATCAGACTAAGGGTTGTTCAACCTTGTTCCAACTGGTGTTAGCTATACGCCATTGATTTTAATGCCGTGCACATATACTGATAACACGAACCTGAGGTTTCGTTGGTGACTAGCAAGATAACCATTGCAAGAGAAGTTGGACACATGTACTACAGAATCTCGTATTCTTTAGATTCAGCGGACAACGCTCGTTATTTTAAGTAAATTTAGCTGGTTTGATCTAATTCATGGTCTCGTACAGATGGTAACCTAATTACATGAAACAGATTCACAAATATTTTCTGTTTTTCATTGAATCCTGTAACAGTATTAGCCTAGGATTAAACGATCTTACAGATGAAATATGATCATCTCATCATTAAAAACTATTGTGATACATAAAATACAAATAATGCTAAATCGGCTAATTCGTTGAACAGTTGGATTTGAAAGAGTTTCTGTTAACCAGCGTAAGCGCTTCTTTTATGATCAAGATTGACAATAATAATAGCACAAATATGTTGTATTAATCCATGTATAAGGATATTCGGTACAAATTTAAGCAACTTACTGACAGCCCCACAGTCACTCATACCTGAAAGAGCGTTAGGTAGATAGAAAAACAAATGTAAAACTCTGATTATCACTGAAGAAATTTCTATGTAGGATTTGGGTGTAGGTCGGTATATCTGCATTTATCTGTGCTACTAGAATAATATGAATTTACCATGATATGAATATCTAGTCCATAAAATTTTACGTCAAAATCAAATCATTGTCAATACCCACTCATCCTATCGTGACAGATACATTCAGTACGTTCAATAATATCGTTAGTATAAAAGACATGAGGTCGCATTAAGTTGTAGCGTGGTGTCGAGTCGCGATTGATTATGAACGCCACTACAATGAAATGTGTACCAAACAAATCAGAATGCGTAGGTTGAACGTAACCAGATTTATTTCGTTGGCGATCTCGTGGTATCGAACGAATACCGAGATCGTGCCAAGAAATGGTACAAGCGAAAGCAGGAGAATGGAGTACGTGCGAACAAAGCCAAAAACCGCGGAACAATGATGGAAGGTAATGGAAGCACAAAACGGCTGTAATTAGCACAGTTAAACAAAAGCACATTAAAACAAGCACTGGTACAGTTGATTATAATAATAATTGTTTTCATCAAACCAGTAGTGTTCTCGTGATAAAAATGAGTCACTACAAAGTAACCATATCTACTTATCCAAGCCACGCGTATAGAACCGGAAGTGAATGAAAATCGGAAAATATCACTACTATAAAAGGAAATAATTTCCTTATTACACGATTCTGATCACTGCCATAACGAAGTTTGATTTGTTCTATCACTTGGAATCTGAAACAGTTATTCAACATACCTTTTCGGGGCGTCGTTTCGAATAACTTAGGCATGATCTTATTTACATCAGCCATCAGTTTTATTAACATTTTGTTGTGGAAGGTCTGATATAATCGAAAAATTCAATGTGAGGAGAGCACCTAGTACTTAGCTAACTAATCACTGCCTCTTAGTTATCATTTTTTGGACCAGAAAAACATTTCTGGATGAATGTGAAAACCAAGAAGCTCGTTCCAGTAGCATGTAAAACAAAGTCCAAATAAGCAACAATATCAGATAAACTAGTAAGAATTAGTTGATTCTAGATTATCGACATGGAATACCACACTGCAAATTTTCATATTTAGATGCATGAAGGAGTATTTAGGAGAATCCCGGAAACATTTGCATCACATTGATGTCTCGACAATTTTAATGTTCGCTGTCGACTCATTTGTTAAACTATTGGATATTTTGTTGAGGTTTCTTCATTGCATTTGTAAAACATCCTTTCAATGCCTGTGTTTATGAAGTGCTTTATTATTGTTTCCTGGAACAAACTAACAAATATTATGTGAATATAAGATGACTTCTTTGTAGGGACTGCATAACGATTATCAGTTTAAAAACTGTTCCTTTTAATACAGACTGATGTGTTTCGTATCGCGAAACGTATCAGAAAGTTGGATCAAATATGATTTGTAGGTTGTTTGGATGAGAACACCGTATACCCGTTTAAGTCACAATTTACTGATTTACTTTCAAGGCAAGTTTTACAGATTATTGTTCACGTATAGCAAAATTATCAATTTATGTACTTACATGATCCCTCACCAAGACCACTACCATCTACAATAAAGGCAAATTTCATATTTATAATAAAATAAAACTAAATGGAATTTGTACATCGAAACTTCATGGAACTGACATTATTGATTTGTTTTCACTTACTTTCACACTTTTTTATACCTGCAAAATAATAATAAATAGTTTAGATGTAATTTCAGTTGTCCAATGACTATTCAACTAACCCGCTAAATGAATCACAATTTACATCAGATCCGATTGATTGAATCAAGTGTGTATGATTTAATCTTAGATATTCGATTGTTGGTTCATGCAATGAGCATTCTGGTGCAGTCTTGTAAACTGACAACAACAAATATCTTAAATTTCTATTTAACCAGCTAATAGAGACTGAAATGATGGGTTTCATATCTTACACAAATATTTCATTGTTATCTAACTAAATATGTTAAACGTTATTCACTGTTTACCAGGCAGAACGGTATTGTTAATGATGTAAGTTATGACTTTGGAAGTTTGAATTTGTCAACGTTCATATCAATCAAAGTTTGCTAGAAAGGAATCATGTTAAGACGAAGCAACATTCTTATGTAAACGAAATGTGAATGCAGACAATAGTTTTAAATTTGTTCATCAACCACAATGAGAAATAACTTCAGAAGCTGGGTATATCAGTTTCGAAACTTACATTCGTCGAAATCTCCTTGCGTAGAGGCTGAAATAGTAAAACAACCGATCGACTTTTAAATACCACATTGAAGTCATCTTAGTGTTTATCAGTTCAACAAGCAACATCACCTGGAACTGATGAATGTAATTTGAAAAACTAAATAAGCAATCTCATTGAATTTGAACGTAGCTTAAGTGTACAAATAAATATATATCAGGTTTATTCGAGAACTTCCAAAAATTAGTCAATAAATATAAATTGGGAAAGCCGATTGAAACCATGAGATACTGAATAGCTCTTTAGTTTCATGAACCAACATGGTGCGATGATGATAACGTCTCAATGAAAACAACTCCATTTCAGTAAACGTTATCGATAGGATTCTGATCAGATAATCAGATGGTAACATGTTTTGTCAGGACATATATGTCCTACATTCTATAGTAAGCAGTACCGTACTCAGTCTGTGTGCTAAAGAATTTCGGCGAGACTATAATTTATGGACGAATCAATCAAGGTATAAGATAACAGGTCTCTGATTTTGGCGCGAAATTCACTCATCCATTTGACTAAATAAAGTTTTGACATTATAAATAATGTCAATTGGTGATGAAGACCCTGAATATAATTCCTAACCTTAACCATCAACTGTAAATCATAATTCAAATTCCTCACACTGGTTTAGAACACTCATTTGGTCCTAGTTATCAGGTGGACACTCTGAAGGTCAGTTTAGGGTTGCTCAAAGGTTGTCCATAAATTATAGTCTCACCGGAATTTTAATGAAATTGTTATTGAATTCCCTCGAAATTTCGATTGATATTTGGCTTTTATTAATCTTTTGTTTGAAACAATTTTAAGACGAAACAAATCTTTAAAAAAATGACCTGATCAAATACTTTGTGTAGACGAATATGTATGTTTCACAGCTATTAATTAAAATTATAAGTTCTTCGCTCCATCAACGATGTTACGGCGAATATCTATCACCAACGTTTTGTTTCAGGCAAAAGGAGATGGCCTATTTTGAGGTTAGTTGCACAATACATTGAAGATTTATTCAGTATTTTATTCCTTTTTCGAAACCAGGGATTACCGCTATATGATCATTCTGTGATGGTTAGTTTAGTTTAGCAAGCCTATGAGCTATCAAATATCAAACTATTTAAATCTATTAAATACTAAGATATGTTGCGTACGGTTTGTTAGATTGGAATCATTCATTATTAAAGGTAAAAACAGACTGTAATTCCATGGTTGAAAAGTGTACTGCGGTTATTTGTAGAACTAAATTTTTCAGTTCCCCAATTTTTGTGCAAATGAATCAGTCATTTAACATCATTGATCATATGTCACAAATGGTAAGGGATTGAATTGTTAAGTTGTTAATATGGTAGAATGTGTTCCGGTTAGTCATCGTTGGAATATGTGCTTCATATACTCAATTTATCCATAAAGTCACTAGATGGAAATCGCTTTCAATGTGTGGATCAGAAAACACTAGACAATAATCTTTATGTAAACATCAAGACTGAGATGTACGATCAACCATTTAATCAGTCCAAAAATATGATTCTACTCGCACCTTGACTTCATAATCAGCCACAACGCGTTTATTCTAAATATTTGACCAGTTAATTGTAAAATGATATATTCACTATATATTCATTCATTAGTTTAACAAATTTAACGATTATATAGTAAGAAGACATACCGTTATGACTGCATGCGAGATAACCTACAAAAATAATGTTCCAAACATCAGTGTTTTGAATATAAATAATGTGAACTACACAAATCGTGTCTCAGAATTACACAATTAAAAGAATACATCTTGATATCTAATCCGTTTTAGTAACAGTACTATTTGGTTTACCATAAACACAGACTAACTTAAATAAATCAGTTCAGTGATCATACAACTTCTTGTAATTTGATTGGTTGATTATTTGAATAGTTCAGAATAAAGTGTCAATGTCAATTGAAATTTCCCTTGGATGGGTTATGGCTGATGAAAAACACACTTGAAATACGTTTACAAAATATGAATTATTTAACAGTAGAACTGATCATCATAGTAATTATTACTTTCAAATAAATAAATGTTTACATGGTTATAGTTGGCTTCTGAGTTGTCGATTTGCTTTATTTCCCGAATCGACCTACATATATTCTCTATGGAGCACATATTTTTAGTAATGAAATGGGTATTTCGAATCTAAATCAAAGATTTTAGTAGTAGCTATCTAATTAATTTACTTCATGGATGAAACTCATCTTCAGTTTTGAAATGTTCGACGATCATTTTCAAAACTTATATCCACTGTATATTTATTTATTTGTTTTTATAAAATAACTGACCGTTCTTTCGTGACTGATTGAAAGGTTGCTCAAGATCGGCGTTTCACCAAAATTCCACTATGTTTTTATTTTCATTTTAAATAGATGACAATAAAAACATTTAAGTAGATGAAACACTACGGTTCCTAAGTGCATTCACCCATTTGTGAATATCAGTCAAATACCTAGTGATCTCTTGAAGCTCTCATTTGAAACATATTTAACAACGAAAAGATATATCATACTTACAGTAGAATGTTTGAGCTCCAGTGGCTAGACATTAAAGTAAATTGATAGTCACTTATTTTATTATGTGCATCAAATCATTTTATACATTCGCAAACTTGAAGACATTTGTACAACTATTCTCAAAGCTAGAAGATCCCTTTGGAACAGTCGTTTGACAATGAATATTTCAAATGCACGTTGATTTAATAAACTCGTCTCGGCTAAGAAGAATGTATAGATGATACGAACGTGATTCGTAGAGTGATCAGTTTTACACGCAAACGTGATTAGTGTTTAACTAAAGTCGTCTATACCTGCCACATTACAAAGATAACAATCGGATTTTCGTATTTTATTATTAGCTTGAACAGATACAAGGGATCCAATTTGAAAAGAAGAAGAGAATTTATCTGTATTGTGTTTCGATGAAACCAGTCGATTACCTTATCATAGCACCATATCAGAAGACAAAGACTTATATTGTACAATCAAACTGGATAAAAGACTGTACAATTACACTTATGATGTTGGTGGTGAATCACCTAAACTACTCAGGTCGTTTTGAAGTTGTGACTTTTCAGTAGTGAATGAATAATTTGAAAGATTTTGGGTATTATTGAGCACCAGTTTGTAAGTGTGTATCATAAAACCACATTCTTTTGGTGTTCCATTGTGCAATCAGGGTCAGTACGAAAATAATCCAGAGTTGTTTTATTCAAATATAGACTGTTTAGTTTGCCAATTGAAAAACTCATCGCATTATCCATGTCGTGTAAATAATGAATGTTAGTCAATAAATTGTTGAAGGTGAGGCAGTTTACAGAAGGCTGTCGAAGAAAAATGTTGTTATTATAGCCAGTGACAATGGTTTTATGATAACGTGCATTACAATGTAAAACGGTTGAATAACAATAACTTACTGCCAGAACACAGACCACCACCTTAATGATAAGTTTATACATCAAAAACGATTTTTCAATCAATGAGGATGTGTAATTAACTACTGATTACAGATATTTGTTTTTCGTCTATTTGTAAAACAGCATATCACAAGTGAAACCATTTGAACAATCTAATATGAAAGCTTCAAATTTATGAATGAAATTATTCACTGACGAAGAAAAACATGACTTATTTGGGTGACTCAAGTGTTTGCTTATGCGTTACAAACCCATTGTTGTTAATTTGGATCATGTCGTCTTAACGCATGTGTACTGTTCAATGATTTGATTCATTCACAGTTGATCAAAACACCTTAGCTATCTACAAACTAAGGTCAGTTTGAAATAAATTTTCATAAGTCAAATTAAATCATTGAGATTACCCTACTACTACTCTCGTTCGGATATTTCATAACTGTTTCACACTTCATAGTCAAAATAAGGTGTTGAGTGATGAGCATATAACACAAAATAGAAGTCTTATTCAAAAATTTTCATCAAATCTTCAAATATACTTACAGTATCGAGTAGCATATTCATCTGTAATAGCATGAATCCATAGGCAGCTTTATTAGTAATCATAGTTATTTAAGCATCACTGATGTGCATTCTCAGTAAAACCTCGAACATAGGTTGTTAAGATAGCTTCTGGAGACTATAAGCTATCCTTTTAAGATGTGATGTATAATGAAGACAATGTACTTGAATAAGCAATAGCAAAACTGTAGAAATGAAACCTATTACATAATTTAAATTACTTGGAGGTATCCATTAATCATTAAATTGCTGCATAGTTCTACTGACATTCGCCAATTGATTCGAATGTTCAGTAACATCAAGCAAACATTCTTATCCAGGTCTCCTCGTCAAATAGATTGCTTCGATAACGTCATGATGCTAAACTTGGTAAATGATGAAAATCATAACATTCGACTACAGAAAAGTTATGAACATTCCAGGCGTTCAAATTTTCAATCCATACTCTCATGCTAGTTTGCGAATATCTTTATTATTTCATTTGAAATGATGAACTGTTCTAATTCATACTACTAGTGAAAATCTGGATGCACTGAAAAGCCGTTTCGTCTTTGGATGAGACTTCTCAACAGTGTAAATCCATGACCCTACGCGCTAGAACGCACAACCGAAATCATAGAGCTATTTTCAATTTATCTAATTTGTCAAACATTACTTAATTAAATAATAATAATAAATAATGCTACTATCACTGCTGATCTACAGTGAAATTGGAAGTCAAGTGAAGCATAACCAGACCAATGTAACTTACAACATAAAAAATAATGATTTATTTTACTTACTGTTTCCCTTACAATGTTTTTCACCTAAATTTGAAAATCGGTTTACAATAGGATCCTATCAAAAATTACTTGACCTGTAACAGTCTATAGTTGAAATAGCAAAACGAATTTATTAAAAAGGCACTTACATTCTCGAGCTATTATTAAGAAGTTAAGAGAATAGTATTTCATTTAAAGTCCATTCAATTGGTTTTATTATTTTTTGAATATTTTACAATCTCTTCATTGTTTAAATTGTCATTCAGATTTAAATGATTGTTTCGTTCATTATTGTATTACCACTTCAATTTCTATACTGATTTACTATGGTAACTTAGTGTGATTTGTAGTTGATTTTATCTTTACTACATCTCACACTATTCAACTCAGATACCTATGGATTACATCAATCAAAGATCATGCATTCATCTATACAAATTAATAATCTAGAAATCACATAATTTGAAGTGTTTCGTGATGTTGCTGAACATTTCTGATCAGATCATGCATGCATCAATACAAATGTCGAAGAAACTAAACTGTAATGTCATCTTTACAGACTATAATTTATGGACGAACCAATCAGATATAAGATAACACGTTTCGGATTTTTGAGCGAAATTCACTAATCCATTTGGATAAATAGAGTTTCGACATTATAGCTGATGTCATTTGGTGATGAAAACCCTAAATATAATTCCTAACCTTAACCATCAACTGTAAATCATAATTTGAATTCCTCACACTGGCTAATAATCCTCATTTGGTCCTAGTTACCAGGTGAACACTTTCAAAGTTAGTCTAGCTTCGTCCCAACGTCGTCCGTAAATTATAGTCTCACAGAATGAACGTTTGCAGCAAAACATTTTCTTAATGTCATCCGATTAAACAACAAAAGATGCAACCACAATTCAATACAAGAAAGTTGATTGTATTCATATGTGATCGATTAGTTCGACAAAATACATGAGGAACATTTACTTAGATTGTTAGTATTAATTTACCTGAAGATATATGTATACAACAATAAGACTGAAACATATTCTGTAGTTGCTATGCCAATTTCAGGTTTTATTTTCATAACTAAACACCCTTCGATTATGTAAATTTATGAAACGTTCGATGATACATTCAATAAATCATTATTGTTAACCAGTATGAGTGGAAATTACTGTCCACAGATCTTAAATCATTCTAAGTAGGTAATATGATTGTACGGTTTATAGTTTTAGTTCAATTTGTTAGATAGAAATTGTAAGACGAAAAGTTTTAGTAACTTACTAATATTACCTAAATTCCAAAAACATGAATGATATTTCAGCAGTGAAACGTATCAATCATTAGTTAAGGATTATATTCATAAGTTAAGCTGATGACTTAAAAGACTAATAATATTTCAACTCAGAGTTCATAATTCTTCACATTTCGGTGGGAAATTGGATCTCTAATTCCATTATTTGAAATGAATATTCTTCATCTCTTCTGTAGTGTATCCTTGCAAGCATTTGAATTTCTACAACATTGTTATGAAGAATAGACTAAACAGGAAAAGTATGTCACTTGCCCAAACTAGTATGAAATGCGACTGGCCATTGTGTCTTACAGTTTCCCTTAAACGTTGACATCTTTATACTATGTTAACCTATCACTTGTTATTTGTCAGTAGCTATATATGTAATCGAAACAAGTTACAGCGTTATAGTACAGTGAGACATGTTATTGAATATATGCTTTTATGAAAGAGTAATAGTTACCATACTCAATTATCATGACTTGATAACATGAGGGATAACGATTACTATTGTCAGAACATACTGTAACAGTTAATCAAATGTATCATGAATGTATCATTCACAATGAAAATGAATCACATTTATAGCGTTTCATGATAATATCGTCATTTCATTATGACAAC